AATTTTGTATAACTTAGCATCAGTAGTTCAATAAATTTGGATTGCCATGCAAAAAAAAAAAAAGAAACAAAGAAAAGAAAGAAAACCACTGTCATAATATAGCTTGTAAACCTCTTCAGTAATCAACTGTTGTGGGAAGATGATTGATCTATCTCAAACTAAACTGCAGATTTTCCTTCTTCATATATGTATGTTTCAGGATCATCCAGATGCTTGGTCTTTGATTGGCAATCTTCATTTGGCAAAACAAGAATGGGGTCCCGGACAGAAGAAGTTTGAGAGGATATTAAAACAGCCATCCACACAGAGTGACACCTATTCTATGCTAGCCCTTGGCAACGTGTGGCTCCAAACTTTACATCAGCCCACCCGAGATCGAGAAAAGGTAATCTCTTTTTGTCCTTTTAAACAAAACTGATACTCTACTTTCTTGTTTGAATCTTAAGAGTGCTTGTTTCTATAGGAAAAGCGTCATCAAGATCGTGCTTTGGCCATCTACAAACAAGTACTCAGAAATGATGCAAAGAATCTGTATGCTGCCAATGGCATAGGTGATTATAAAACTTGAGTACCTATAACAATTTGTCTTAAATGAATACTTTCAGAGGAATGTTTGTAAATCAGAATTTTTCTTAAAATGTGATGAATGTAGTTGTTTTAAAATATAATTTTTAGTTGTTTTTCTGGCTCCAATTAGAAAATTCTTAAGTGTGAACCTTTTTATATCTTTAGGAGCTGTTTTGGCCCACAAAGGATATTTTCGTGAAGCTCGTGATGTATTTGCCCAAGTCAGAGAAGCAACAGCAGATATTAGTGATGTATGGTTGAACTTAGCACACATCTATGTGGAGCAAAAGCAGTACATCAGCGCTGTTCAGATGGTAATAGCTTCTCTTTCAAGATATTTTTATATCTTGTTCGTTGTTGAGCAGATATTTTCTTAGCCATTCTGGCCCTGTCATGGAACTGCATGCTATCTCTTGTGATACTGTGTCTATTTAGAGATTTATAATTATATAATGCTAAGGCCAGGCTTTGGTATCCAGACAGAGATGGAAGTCCTGGTTCCACTATTAATTACATGCCTCAGGCAAAGGACATCCCTTCTGAGCCAGTTTTCCTATCTATAAAATGGAGATAATTGTACCCTAACTTCATAGAATTGTGTGAGGATCCAGTATGAAAACTACTTGGCACTAGCATGCCTAGCATATTAGTAATACCCAGTAAGTAGTAGGATTTAATATTAATTTGTGTATTCAGTTTCTGAAACTGAACTGTGAGTTTCAGAAAGGTTAAATGACTTATTTAAAGAACAGGGCCCAGGCATGGTGGCGTACACTGTAATCCCAGCACTTTGGGAGGTCGAGTGGTGGTCGACGCGGACATGGATGATGAGATCAGGGATTCAAGGGACCAGCTCTGGCCAACTTTGGTGAAATCCTTGTCTACTAAAAATACAAAAATTGCTGGGCATGGTACACGTGCCTGTATCCCATACTGGGGAGACTGAAGCAGGGAGAATTGCTTGAACGAGGGAGCGGAGGTTGCAGTAAGCCGATGATCGCACCACTGCACTCCCTGCCTGGGTGACAAAGCAAGAGCTCTGTCTCGGGGGAAAAAAAAAAAGGAAAGAAGGAAAACAGGGATAAGATTTTAATGAACTTGTAGGAGTTTTTTTTTATGCTTACATTTGTTGAGTGCTTGAGTTTGAAATAAAGTCATACCAGGCATCCCATAACACTGTAGAAAAGTAAGAAAGGATTTCGGCTCTCTGGGAATATTATGGTCCGAAAGGAGAAAGCTTACACAAAGTAGATAAAGAAAGAGCAAATCCAGGTCTGAGAAGTGGTTTTCCTTTTTACTAAAATGGGTGGGTTCGATTATCAGTATTCAGGTCGTGGAAAGCTCGATAATCGCACGGAGACTCACAGAACCAGATTTATATGGTTAGTTCAGAGGCTGTGGTTTGTTGAGGTTGGCCTTCCTGATCTGGCTGAATGATTAATGTTGCCTGTTTATAAATGCAAATTCTAGGGATATTTACAGTGAAAAAACTGGTCTTAACCATTTTCATGA